AGTTCTTAGGCTTAAATCTTTGATTAATTTGGGTTTCCGGCGTTGTTTTAGGTGTTTTCAAGATTGGTACAAGTTTGAATAAGGTATTAGGTGGTATTGGTGCTTTTGGTTGAGGTCCCGGGGGCCTCGGGATGATTTCGGGTGGTTAACGGAGGAAATTTCTAAGTTTGCAGCAGCTGGTATTTTGTTCCTTCTGGTATTTTGTTCCTTCTGGTATTTTCGCTTCTGCGGCTTGGGGACCGCAGAAGCGGCTCCCTCATTGCAGAAGCGAGATTGGTCTTCCCCCTCAGGAACCGCAGAAGCGTTTGATTTTCCGCATAAGCGGTACCGCAGAAGCGGTTATATATCCGCAGAAGCGGAATCTGGCCTTTTAAATGAAACCCCAGAAGTGGCTAGTGGTTCGCTTAAGCGGGACCGCAGAAGCGGTCCCTAGACCGCAGAAGCGGTATTCACTGTTCGGAAATAGCAATTTCGAGGGTTTAATTTCATAAGTTTGAAAAATTGATTGAGAGCTCGGGAGAAAGCGATTTTGAGTGGGTTTTGAAGAGAAAATCATTGCGTAACGTTTCTTTGATCCCTTTTCATTATACTACATCATTTTATAGTTAAATACGTCATTGGAATTAGAAGTTAGGATCAAAAATTGGTTAATTTGGGGTAAAACTTCATTGGCTAAACTATTGAGTTTTGGGTGAGCATTTGACCTCCGATTTGGGAGATTTCAATATGGTTAGACTCGTGAGAGTACGAGGGTTCTGAAAATGTGAAATTATTCGATTCCGGGGCGTTGGCATGAAGGACATTTTGGTCATCACCTAATTTTACGTCGTAGCTTTGAATTTATTAGCAAAACCAGGTGTTTGCGATGTTATTTACGATGTGTAATTGAATTGAATAGATTTGAGCCATTTGGAGTCGGATACTCGTGGCAAGAGCGTTGTTTTTAGTTGATATTGAGCCGGTTCGAGGTAAGTGGCTAACCTTGTGTGGGGGACCTTTCACCTTAGGATATGATCTTTGAATATTTGAATGCCTCGTACGTGAGGTCACGAGCGCGTACTTGAGCTAATTGTTGTAAACTCGTTTCTACTTGAAGTATTTAAATTGAGATTTCTTGTTTACTTGTTCATTTTAATTGTAAGTTTATACCTGTGCTAGCTTTGAGACTCATGTTTAGCTGGCTTACTTGCTTATTTGTTTTAGCTGTGCTATTTGTACTATGTGAAGCATGTTAGGCTATAATTTACTACTTCTTGTCCTGATTTTTTGCATTGTTCCGAGATTTATGAATTGTTGTTGTTGTGTGTTTAATTTGGGACTACGGGACGGCTTCCCAGGAGATCCCCCCTGTACTTGAGATATTCTGGACTGAGGTGCGGGATACCAAGAGATCCTTGGCACATTTATATATATTGAGGATACCAAGAGATCCTCGGGATACCAAGAGCTCCCTGGCATATTATTGAGGATACCAAGAGATCCTCGGGATACCAAGAGATCCCTGGCACATTTATATATATTGAGGATACCAAGAGATCCTCGGGATACCAAGAGATCCTTGGCATATTATTGAGGATACCAAGAGATCCTCGGGATACCAAGAGATCCCTGGCACATTTATATATATTAAGGATACCAAGAGATCCACGGGATACCAAGAGATCCCTGGCATACTATTGAGGACACCAAGAGATCCTCGGGATACCAAGAGATCCCTAGTGTATATGTTGAGGATACCAAGAGATCCTCGGGATACCAAGAGATCCCTAGTGTTTATGATGAGGATACCAAGAGATCCTCGAGATACCAAGAGATCCCCAGTGTTTATGATGAGGATACCAAGAGATCCTCGGGATACCAAGAGATCCCTGGTGCATTTGATGAGGATACCAAGAGATCCTCGGGATACTAAGAGATCCCCGACTATTATTCCTTGTTGAGAGCGGTATTCCTTGTATTGTTACCTTTGCTTTCTACTACTGTTCTTCCTTATTTATCTGGTTTAGATTCTCGCTGTAGACTTTATTTAAACTGTTTCCGTTATCTTATTAATTATTATGTTTTATCTCAGCAGGGCCTTGACCTTCCTCGTCACTACCCGACCGAGGTTAGGCTTGGCACTTACTGAGTACCGTTGTGGTGTACTCATGCCCTTCCTGCGCATGTTCTTCATGTGCAGATCCAAGTACCTCTTCTCAGGTGCACTATCCTTGAGGCGAGGAGATACACGGAGACTTCGAGGTATATCTGGCGCGTCCGCAGACCAGGAGTCTCTATTCTGTTCCAGCTTTAGTATTTAGTTTATCCCTTTTCTCTCAGTTGTTTAGATATTCTGGAGTTAGAGCGGTGTACTATGTTCCTGTTAGCCTGTGGTTCCCGTGAGTTTCCGGGTTTTGGGATTGAATTGTAGACTTCCGCATTTCTTTTGGGTTGTATAGGCCGAGCGGCATTATATGCACTTAATATTTTAATATGTTTAGCCTTATTTAACCATTTCGCAAGTTAAGTTGTTATTTTTCCGCATTGATAGGCTTACCTAGTTGTAGGAACTAGGTGCCATCACGACATGTTCATGGAGGGTGAACTGGGGTCATGACAGCAGACATAGCAATTGAATTGTATTTTGGTTATCTTGCTTGAGAAGCATATCTTACCTCTTATTTGTGCACCTTATTACTATATCTATTATTTATGGTTGTTTCCTGGCATTCCATGCTATTATGAATTTGTTCAGATGATAAAGGTGAGTATCATATTTTTGCCAAGATCTCATCACTACTTTGAAATTTAACTTTGCTCTCATATTATACTTTTGCACATTTAGTGAAGATATCGCTATTGGTCCCCGCGGTATCTTAGAGGGTGCTTAGTAGTTTGACTATTGGAGACTTTGTGGTGAATTACTATGGCGGATTCACAGCTTACGGAGTCTGTCCCTTCCTTTTATGGTGTTAATCTTATTTCTGACAGTACTCTTATATTTTGAGACGCAATTTTATTCCGTCTTAATAGTTCTTGACTCCGTACTATCGGGTTTTGGGAGATGTTGTAGTATATCTCGTATTTAGTTGATGATGTGACACTTATTTATGTTTTATCTATATCATGACAATAAATTATCCTCTAGTTGTCTTGCTTTAGATGATTATGATTGTTGGTTTACCCAGCAGGTTGGGTTTATGTTCCATCATGATCATGGTGGAATTATGGTTTGTGACAAGTTGGTATCAAAGTTCTAGGATAAAGGGTGCTACGGGTCATGAGAATGTCTAGTAGAGCCAAGCGGATTGATATGGAGACATCTATACTTTTCTTCAAGAGGCTATGGGAAATTAGGAAACTTCCCTTGTTTCTCTCCTTGTCGTATGCCCTTTTTTATATTGAAGTTTGAATATTTACTCTTTTATTCTCTCATAGATAGTGAGAACACGTGCGTCAGCAGCAGCTGAGCAGAAGCCAATACCCCTGGCTTGAGCCGGGAGAGTCAAGGGTCAGGGCACGATTGAAGCTTGGACCAGAGCATGTATGGCACTACCGATAAGAGATGGAGCATCCCCAACTACCTGTGGTTATGCTACAACCACTTATAAGAAGCCAACTATAGCTCTAGTTGTAGACCAAGTCCCACATTAGGTTATTCCACCAGGTCCAGCTCAGGTTCCCGAGGTTTTCATTGTTGCTCCAGTGCTTCAGGAAACCATGATCCATATTACGAGGTTCTTCAAGGTTTGGTAAAGGCTAGGAAATCTAGCCTAAAATAACTCAATAACTTTAAATAAAGCCATAAGAAACAACCCCAAACAATAAAGCTTCAATCTTAAATAAAATTCCAAAAGTTAGCAAAAGCCAACATGGGACCACACGGTCAAAACCCGAGTCAAGGGATAGATCTCGACTCCCCATAACCTCACGAGTTTAAATATGTGATTAAATGGCCTGCTCCGGGGTACCTTTCATGGAGACGCCATGTGCCTTGCATTCACGAAGCACAAAAAGTCAATACCCAGATTTAACCCTTCGCGTTCACGTGACCTAACTCACAAACGCAATGACCAAACTGCCTCTACTTAAGCGAAAACGTCCTTACCTGCGCGAATGCAAAGGCTATCCACCAGCTCCAACTCTCAAATGTGAACATGACCCTCCTGGTGTGAACGCGATGAGAAAGTCCCCCCAACCACCGCGAACGTAAAGAAGAAACCTCCCCAGCTCCAAAAATACACATCGTGATCGCGACCCTACCTCCGCGACCGTGATGAAAACCTGACACCAGAATATTTCTGCAACACTAACAATGTTCCGGGTGGTTCGAAACACACCCAAGCCACCAAGGACCCCGTCCAATCATACTAACAAGTCCATAAACACTACCCGGACCTATCCAAAGCCTTCAAGAACATACGATAACATCATATGACCGAATCAAGGGCCAAAATACAAAATGAACTTCTCTTAAGTTAAAGAACTCTCAAACTTCAGACCAAGTGTATGATTCAAGCCTAACTAATCCGGATTGCAATCAAACTTTGAACACAAGTCCAAATAACAAATGAACATATCCCAACTTTCAGAAAAACAATTTGAATCTGATATGATCAAAGTCAACTCCCGATCAAACTTAGGAACTCTCCAAACCTTCAAATTGCCAACTTTCAGCAAATAGCGCCGAAAATATTATAGGAACCTCCAAATCAAATTTCGAACATACTCTAAAGTCCAAAATTACCATATAACCCTATTGGAAACCTCAAATCACCAATCCGAGACCATTTACACAAAATTTAAACCTCGGTCAACTCTTACAATTTAAGCTTCCAACAAAGGAACTAAGTGTTCCAATTCACTACAAAGCCTCCCTATAACCAAACCAACCATCCCAACAAGTCAAAAAACATCAAACAAGCATGAGGAAACCATAAAATAGGGGAACGAGGCTCAAATACACAAAATGATCGGCCAGGGGCCAATCGTTACATTCTCCCCCTTTTAACAAATATTCGTCAACGAACGGGTTTAGAGTCATACCTGAAATGACAAAAAGGTGAGTATATCTGCTCTGTATATCATGCTCGGACTCCCAAGTATCCTTCTCAACTGTCTAACTCTCTACTAAACCTTCAGTGACACGATCCCCTTAGACCTAAACCTCCGAACCTGCCTATCCAAAATGGCCACCGGCTCCTCCTCATACGCCATATTCTCATCCAACTGCACTGTGATGAAATCCAAAATATGTGACTCTTCTTCATGATACTTCTGAAGCATATAAACATGAACACTAGGAGGCAAAAGACTAGGAGGCAAAGCAAGTCTGTAGGCAACCTCACCGACTCTCTCCAATAACTTGAAAGGACCAATAAACCTCGGGATCAACGTGCCCTTCTTCCCAAAGATCATCACGCTCTTTATAGGCAAAACTCTAAGTAGAACCTTCTCGCCCACCATGAATGCCACATCACGAACTTTCCTAATAGCATAACTCTTCTAGATTGAGTGATGTGAAGCCTCTCCTGAATCAACTTCACTTTCTCCAAAGCATCTCGAACCAAATATGTGCTCAATATTCTAGTCTCACTGGGATCAAACCAACTAACTAGACAACGACGTTGCCTCCCATATAATGCATGACACGAAGCCATTTCGATGCTAGACTAGTAGATGTTGTTGTTGTAGGTAAACTCCGCTAAAGGTCGAAACTGATCCCACTGGCCTCCAAAATAAATAATGTAGGCCCTTAACATATCCTCCAAAATTTCAATGGTCCGCTCAGAATGCCCATCCGTCTGAGGGTGAAATATCATACTCAACCCAACCTGCATGTCCAAATCACGTTGAAAGGCCTCCAGAAGTGCGATTTGAACTGAGTGTCACGATCTGAGATGATAGAAATAGGTATAATACACAAGCGAACAATCTCTCAGATGGTCTTTGCTAACTACTTCGAAGTGTAGAAAGTCATAACCGGAATGAAATGTGTCGATTTGGTCAACCGACCCACAAATATTTGAAGGAATAATAAGTCAATATTTAAAAATTAAAAATTCAAGAAGCCAATTTTAAAAGCTTTAAAAATTATAGAACTACTTATATGACCCCTATAAATTGGATACTATGCAAAAATAATATTTCAAAAGTATGTAGAATACTTTGTAAAAGCATGAGCGCAAAATTAAGTATCAACAATAGGCCATTAGTGTTGGGCGGCAATTGCAATGACCAAACAGACTATTGCGGGCCTAACAATTGGGTTGAACCTAAAATGATAATCTAACCCGGGCCTTTGCATGAAAACTTTAGCTACTAGAAGAGACTTATACCTCTCAATGCTTCCATTAGGTTTATGTTTTATTCTAAACAACCACTTACAGTCTACAACATTCCGAGAGGATCACTGGGAACTGAATCCCACGTCTAGTTTTTGATTAAAGCATCATATTTTTCTTCCATCGCTTCTTTTCATTGGAGGGTATAGTTGAGCTTGAATGTAAGAGAGGGGAATTGGTGGTGAGGGATTAGTTTTTGCAAGAAAAGTCTTGGGTTTCAGGCTATTTATTTTTTTATCGGGTAACCATTGGATAAAAAAGGGTGGTTAGTTTTGGTTGCGATAGAGGAGCAAGAACATGTGGCGGTTGAGATTCTGTGTGTGGATGTGGTTGAGGGGCTTAGACAGATGTGGTAATCTTATAGGTCTGATGGTTATAGGTTTGGGTAATAGGTGCTTTACTTTTTGTCGTATGAGGATTGATTGAGTGGGGGAGGAAAAATCAGAGGTGTTTGTTGGGTTGTTGGGATAAGGTGGAGAATTACCTGAGCTCTGCGACGCTGTTAGAGAAGGAACAAAGCAAGACTTTCGTACATGCATAGACAACGGCGAAGGTAGTTCAAAATAATGTGAATCTGTTGGGATAACTCTGTGTGTGTCTTTTGGTTAAGATATGTCATCCTAAGTAATTTTCAAATTCTGATTTTTATAATTAGAGAATATATTGGCAAAAGAATGATTATTTTCAGCAAATACTACATCTCTCAAAAAATAAATTTTGGAGGTTGTTGGGTCAAAGATTGATGGCAATAATATTTATTTGAAAAATCCCAAACAAACACAGGGCTGTTATTTTAAATCGGGCTTGTTTTGTGAATACGCTTTTAGCCACGGATAACATAAACAACCAAATATTTTGATGTTTTCATAATCTAGTGATTCTTGAAATAAGATCTCATATGGACACTTGTCTTTTAAAGTTGGAGTTATCATTCTGTTAATGAGAAAAACAACTTGATGACATGCAAAACTCCAAAACGTGGCTGGTAATGAAGCTTGGTGCATTAGAGTTTTGGTAGTCTCGACAACATAGCGATGACGTCGTTCTACCAGAGCAACTCTTTGTGGAGTATAAAGTGGAGAAATTAAGTGTTCGATGCCTTGTGAATTTAAATATGAAGTTAAGCCTTGAAATTCACCTCCTCCGTTAGTATAAAAAGATAGTATTTTTGTTTGAAACTGACACCCAAGCAATGGATGTAGTGTTTTGAAAACATCTAAAACCTCATTTTTGGATTGTATTGTGTGAGCCACATGTATTTAGAAAATTTATCGACAAATAAAACATAATATCTTTTTCTATCAATAGATAAAACTGGTGAAGGTCCCCACAAATCACTATAAATAATTTGTAGCGGCCTTGGACTCTGCAAAGAACTTGTAGGAAAAGATTGCATGTGACTTTTACTTGATTGGACTGAATTACAAATCGAAAGAGAGTCTTTCATAATTGGAATGGAAATTATTTTCAAAAATATATCTAAATTACGTCGTGTTGGATTCCCTAAATACTGGTGCCACAAATCTAAAGACATAGTCACATTGCATTGATGTTGAGAAGAAGGATTGTCTAGCGGCCATTCATAAAGGCATCCTCTACTCCGCCCTTGAACCATCGGCCCCCCCGTACTCATATCCTTCACAAGATAAGAGAATGGAAAGAATTCAATGGATGTTTTATTGTCGCGACAAAATTGAGAAACTGAATTAAGTTGTTGGCAGTGGAAGGGGAGCAAAGGATATATGATAATTGAAAGCGATAACTAGATTCATATAAATCAGTCTTACAAGTGTGAGAAATTGGTATGGTGTTACTATTTCCCATAGCGATTTCTTCTGGACCATTGTAGTCATTAATGGTTGTGAGACTTTGTGCATCTGATGCAACATGGTGTGTAGCTCCTGTATCGACTATCCATGGTGTAGGTTGCTGCATTTGTCATCCAGCAAAGTTGGCTCGTGCCTGAAAATAATTATGAGACTGAGAGCGGCAAACCTGAGCAGAGTGTCCAATGCGGTTACATAACTGGCACACTAAGTTGTTGTCTTGCTGATTGGCATGACGGTTGCTCCATGGCTGAGAACGATTCTGTTGGTTGTTGTTTTGACTCCTATTGTTTGTAATGGTGTTGGTCCTTGTTTGAGAGTTGGTCTTTTGAGCAACAGCAGTAATGATTGTAGTGGATGTGTGAGGCAGAGCATGTGTTTGAGGAAAATCTGATGGTCAATAAGCTTTTCAAACAATTCTTCATACAAGATAGGTGTATCACGTGCTCTAACTACTACTGAGATTTCTCGATATTCTGCTCCAAGCCCAGTAAGAATCTTGACAATGAGTTCAGAGTTGGTGATAGGTTCTCCTGTGGTCGGAAGTTCATCATAGAGAGAACGGACTTCATTGAGATAGTCCGTGACAAGAAAGCTCTCTTTGGTGAGACGAGAAAGGCGATCTCGTAAGCTGAATATGCGAGTTTGCGACTTATTTGCATAAGCAGTATGGAGGGAATCACATGCTGCTTTAGCTGTGGTTGCAGCAGTTATATTGGCAGCAAGAGTTGGATCGACTGATGCTAAAATAGCATTGTTGATCAACTAGTTACGAAACCAATTAACATAATTGAGGTTGGAAAGTATCTGGTTGTTTGTGGTGGTGGTCTGGAAGGAGAAGTGATAGTTCCATCTAGATGGCCACAGAGAATGTATCCTCTCATGAGCATGAGCCTTCCAGAGGGAGAAGTTATGACTGCCAGCAAGTTTGATCGAAATCTGTGTAACCAGGTTGAACTGAACAATAGATATGGTTCTTGTTGCATTGGTGTTGGTAACAGATGGTGCCATTTGTGGTAGGTGGGTAACAAAAAGATTAGAACTCTATGAGGAGAATGAATGCTCTTGATACCATATGAAGGCTTGAAATACAAAGGAGGAAAAGATAATTTTATTCATGAACAATGTAAGAGAATGAATGTAGACATAATGAATATATACATACTCTTATGTAATATACATAGCTAGCAAAATTATAGGGATTCTTAGCAGATTTATAGGATCTCCGTTTTTATTCTTTCTATAAATAGGGCTCTATGTACTTGTTACTTCTTGGAATAATATACAACTAGATTGCTCCATTCTCTATATATTTAACATGGTGTCAGAGCCCCATTAGAGTTGAGGATTAATACTTCACCAGAGTTCACAAGCGTGAGTCTCAAGTGGCGACAAAATTTCTTTCGGCAGGCTGCCCGACGGCGCGTGCCAGCGTGTGACACGTTGGTTTTTTATCTAGATTTCGCTAGCAAGATCTCTTCTCTATTCTTGGACAAACCGTGGTGGTTCCTTGACCAACGGACCACACTGCCCTTATTTTGTTATACTTAGTAGAATCTATCGGATTCTCTCTTTCAGTCAGATCTGAAGCTTTTGGATCTCATCTCACTTTGGTTGATTTGTGTTTTTGATTCACAAATATTAGTCATTGGGGTCACTCTTCTGTGATGTTCTACTGATCAGGATCATAATTTTTTTTCTTTTCGATTTGGTTGTCTAATGTGTGAGCTCTTTCGCTGATCTCTATAGGTTCTCTATTTTGTGGTGCTTGTGGTGTTTAATTGGTTGATGTAATTTCTTAATCTATGGAGAACCATAAGTTGTGGAGAAAGCAAGGATTATATTGTTTTGTATATTTTGAAGAAAGTGGGAGCATGATATAATTTTCTTCACCTTACTATTGTTTGGGTCTAAGTTCTATTAGGGTAATTTTAGTAGAGTTATGCTAGTTTTCCCCATAAATTATTTTGATACTTTTGGTTGGAAACATGACGGGAAACAATAAGCAATGAGGAAATAATGTTACTGCTCCTAGTCCAACAATCTTGGTTTCGGATGAGTTTCTGAATTTCCTTCAAAATCTGAAATCAATTCATGAATCTTCTTCAGTTATTGCAGTTGCTGGGTCAGATAAAACATGGCTTATCACCTCTTCAAATAAATGAGTGATTGATTCAGGTACCACAAATCACATGACAGGTAATCTAAATATTTTATTAGTTTTCAATCACACAAAGCACCCTCTCCAGTTAGTGTAGCTAATGGATCATCTTGTAGCATTGTTGGATTTGGGACTGTTAAACCAACTTTCTCTATTACCCTGCCATCAGTATTAAGTCTACCAAACTTTGCCTTTATTTGATTTATGTTAATAAAATCACCAGAGATCTTAATTGTTGTGTCATGTTCTTTCCTTATCATTGTTTGTTTCTAGAACATACGATGAAGTAGGTCATTGGTAAAGGATATTTATCTGGTGATCTCTACATCCTCGATGAATGGGAGCCACGGTCTATTGTATGTTCTAGTGTCGTGTCTCCTTTTGAAGCACATTGTCGATGAGGACATCCTTCTCTACCTTTATTGAAGAAGCTATGTCCTCACAGAATATTTCCTCATTGGATCGAGAGTCAAGTCGATTCAAAAAGCACCATCGTATCTCGTTAGGTCCAAGGGTTAATAACCGAGTTGAGTCAACTTTTGAGTTAGTTCCTTCCTTCTGATGTTTGGGGACCACGTCCTGTTGTTTTCAAAATTGAGCATAAGTATTTTGTCACTTTTATAAATGATTTTTCTCGAATGACTTGGATTGACTTTATGAAGAGTCATTCTAAAGTGTTTACTCACTTTTCTGCCTTTTGTGCTGAAGTCAAAACTTAGTTTAATGCTTCAGTGTGTATTCTAAGGAGTTATAACGCTAAAGAATATATGTCATAGTTATTTTGGTCCTACATGAGACAACATGGTATACTACATCAGTCTTCATGTGCCGATACACCCTCTCATAAAGGAGTTGATAAGAGGAAGAATATGCATCTACTGAGACATCTCGAGCACTTTTATTCCGAAAGAAGGTTCCTAACAGTTCTAGGTTGATGCGGTCTCTATTGCTTGCTTTTTGATTAATTGCATGCCATCTACGTGCTTGGTGGTAATGTGCCTTACTCTGACGACCCGGCCATTCAATTTAAGAATTTTAGTTTCGTTCCCTTATTTATTGTCTCCTCTATGTTCAATTGTGGTTATGTGACTTTCTGGGGTACTTGGTTTGGTTTCATGTGGTTCCTCAGTAAATTGGGACACTTAGTCCCAAAGTTGGAAGCTTAAGTTGAAAGAGTTGACCGGAGTTTGAATTTTGTATAGATAACTACGGAATGGAGTTTTGATAGTTCTTATAGCTTCATATGGCGATTTTGGACTTAGGCGTATGTCCGGATATTGACTTGGAGGTCCGTAGGTTGGTTTGAGGTTTTTACGCGAAAGTTGAAAAAGTTGATAGGTGTGACCGAGGGTTGACTTTGTTGATATAGGGCTCAGATTATGATTCCAAGAGTTGGAATAGGTCCGTCGTGTCATTTGGAACTTGCATACAAAATTTGAGCTCATTCGGAGTTGGTTTGGTATGATTCGGCATTAGCTTTGGAAGTTGAATGTTCATTGATTCAATAGGCATGAATTGGGGTGCAATATTTGATGTTGTTTGATGTGATTTAAGGGCTCGAGTAGGTTCATGTTATATTTTGGGACTTGATGGTATGTTTGGACGGGGTCCCGGGGGCCCCGGGTGTGATTCAGCTTGAAATCGGGTTCATTTTGGACTTAGATTAATTTTTGAAGGACAATTGAGTTCTGGTGCAACCGCACATGTGAGGGGAATGGCCGCAAGTGTAGTACCACAGAAGCGGGCAAACGACCGCAAATGCAAAAAATGGGGCTGGGTGAGCTAGGCCCGCAGGTGCGGAAGTCCTTGTGCATGTGCGCATCCACAGATGCGGATATCTTCCACAAACGCGGATTTTGATCGGTTGTCTCAGGACTGCATTTGCGATCAGGTTCCACAGAAGTGGACTAGCATAAGCGCCCTTTGGTCCGCATAAGCGGAAGCGCAGGTGCGCATTTTGTCCGCAATAGCATAATTCCCTGAGCCTTAGTTGAAGTCGCATCTCCGATGTATTTTTTGCAGTTGCGGGGTCGTAGATGCGGGGTCGCAGAAGCGACTAGTTGTCCGCATGTGAGAAAATCCTGGGCAGAAAAACGGTGAAATCGAGGGTTTATTTCATTTTTCACATTTGAGTTAGAGAGCTCGATTTTGTGCGATTTGGAGGAGATTTTCAAGGGTTGGATCGGGGTAAGTATTTTTGACTCGGATTTGCTTATTATTCATGATTCCATCATTGTTTTTATCATATAATTAGTATTTTGAGTTGGATAAATTGGGAATTTTTTGAAAACTTTCCTAAACTATAAATTGAGGATTTGAAGGTCGATTTGAGGTCGGAATCGGATAATTTGTGTATGGTTGGACTCATATCGAAATGGGTGTTCGGATTTTGTAAGTTTTTCGGGTTCCGAGGTGCGAGCCCGAGATTGACTTTTTGAGTTGTCTTAACTTTATTATCCGGAACCATTTCCTATGGTTTGTATTTATGGTATTAAGTTATTTTGGCTAGATTCGAGTCCTTTGGAGTTGGATTTTCGCTAAAAAGGCTTACTAATGGGTGTATTTAGCTTGTTTAAGGTGAGTATCTTGTCTAACTTTGTTTGGGGGAACTACTCCTTAGGACTTGGGTTGATTTGTGTTGTTTAGATTATGTGAAAGACGTGTAATGAGGTGACGAGTATGTACACATGCTTATATGTGGTATTTTGACTGGTTTAGAGTCTTAAAATCGTTCATGCATTTAATTAGAAATTGTAATATCATGTTATATCTTTCATTGTTAAATTGCTCTTTACATGCTTACTTGATTTTATTATCACATGCTCTATCCCTTAGTGCCAATATGCTCTTGTATGCCTTATTTGCCTTTGTTAACTCTCTTATTGTCGTGTTACCTCTTTATTATCGGGTTATTCTTGTTTGAAGTTGTTATTGTTGAGATTCTCGTTCGTATTATGATTGAGCTCTGGGCTATATATTGTGGTAACTTCAGTATTGTTGATTTTGGCAAGTTATGGCATATGGACACTTGTGGTGCATGTAGTTATTGTGTTGTGACATTGATACGCATGTGGCAGTATAAGGATAGAGGTTAATATGCATGTGGTGGCATAAGGTAGGAATTTATGTGCGTGTTGCTAGTAAGGGAATTACTTGAAGCCATGCGGCGACATAAGGGGGCTAAAGTGCGTGTAGCTATTTCAGGAAAAACATTTTTCAAAAATATCTCTATGTAAGGCTCACGCGGTGGTATAAGGAAAGGTTGTGACTGGATATGAGGCGGTACCTCGGTTGTGATTCTTATTGTACATTCTATGTTAAAGAGGCTTTTTGGTTGAACAGTTTGTGATCTCTTTATTTGCCTTACTTGTATTTACTCCGTATTGATTTCTTGGTGTTCTTATCATGTGTTCACTCCTAGTTGCCTTTATTGTGTTTAAATTCTGTTGTTAGCTAACATTATTGAACTGCTTTATATAGTCCTTTATTTCTTATCCTAGTAGGTGTCTTGACCTAGCCTCGCCACTACTCTACCTAGGTTAGGCTTGATACTTACTGGGTACCGTTGTGGTGTACTCATGCTATGCTTCTGCACATTTTTGTGCAGATCCAGGTAGGCTAGGAAGTGATTGACTATACATTTCGGAGACTTCAAAGTATACCTACTTGGCGCTTGCAGGCCTCGGAGTCACCTTTAGTCATTATTTTTACTACTGTTTATCTTCTATTCGGACATCGTTGTATTAGAGATTCTTAGATTATTTCTGTAGAGCTTATGAATCAGTTCCATTGGTTTTGAGAATTTTGTTACAGACGTTCTATTTTAGAGTTATTATGAGTTCTATCGAATTATCTTATTATCTTAGTTGCGAATTTTGTTAAGTTATCAATGAATGTTAGGCTTACCTAATCTTAGAGACTAGGTGCCATCACGACATCCTAAGGTGAGAAATTAGGGTCGTGACACTTACAATATTCTTTTCCCAAACAAGTCATTATTTCCGATGGAATCTAAGGTGTTTGGATGCACATGTTATTTCTGAGATGTTCGACCACCTGTTACCAAGTTGGATCCCAAGGCATTAAAGTGTCTTTTCCTAGGCTATTCTCTCCTTCATAAGGGGTATCAGCGTTATTCTATTGAACTTGGTAAATATATTGTGTCAACTGATGTGGTATTTTCAGAGACTACGCCATTCTTCTATGCACCTCCCATTTCTAGAAGTCAAGGGGAGGAAGATTAATGGCTAGTATATCAGGTTACCCGGGCTTTGATAGAACAACCAAATGATATTCCTACATCTTCTAGTTCTTCGATTGAGCAGCAATCAACTATTGTGCCTTCAGTACCCGCTCCAACTGTGTTATAAAGACCGCCAATTGTTCAAGTTTACTCGCAGAGGCAAGAGGCAAATGATACATGTCCTGTAACAGTTCCTTCGTCATCATATCCTCCTCCGCCTAATCCTACAGAGAACCTTGACCTTCCTATTGCTCTTCGCAAAGGTATACGTACTTTCAAATACACATATTCCATCGCTAATTTTGTTTCCTATGACCGCTAATCCTCTAGGTCTAGATCTATGATTGCTTCTGTAGACTCCATCATGGTACCCAAAACAGTGAAGGAGGCTTTGAATCATCCTGAATGGTATGATGCAATGCTTGAGGAAATATATGCCTTAGAGGATAATCAGACGTGAGATGTGGTGGATTTACCCAAGAGAAAGAAATCAGTGGGATGTAAGTGTGGGATTGGTACGGAGACGTCTGTATTTATCCCCTAGAGGCTACAGAGTTAGGAAAAACTTCACATCTATTCTTCTCTATCGTGCATGTCGCGACCCAAAATCCACTAAGGGTCGTGATGACGCCAGACACCACTGCCAGGCAAGCCAACACTATTTAGCTAGAGATTTCTCGTTTTAGATATTCCCGAAATCATTTCTTTTACACATTTAAACAATATATAATAAGTTCCACTGAATGAATACTGATATCTTTAACAATTTCAAAATACTGAATAATCCCATAGACATCCCAGAACCCGGTGTCACAAGTGTATGAGCTATCTCTAGGAAACAATATAATACAACAACTGCCTGGAATACCAATAGGACAGAAACTAAATATGGAAATATGAAAGAGACTTTGCTTGCTGCGGGTCATCTCGAGAAGTGCAACTCACCTAAGTCTCCGTAACCAACACCTTCTCCTCGGTTGCCAGACTAACTTTTGTCTACTTATTTATTTCTCTAGTTGTTCAGAGAATTATCCTTTACATCAGTTAGATATCAAGAATGCGTTCCTTCATGGTGATCTTCAGGAGGAAATGTATATGGACCAACCATCCATTTATTTTGCTCAGGGAGAGTATGAAAAATTCTATCATTTGAAGAAGTTCTTGTATGGCTTGAAGTAGAGTCCTCGAGCTTAGTTTGGCAAGTTCATTGAGGTAGTTCAGGAGTTTGGGCTGAAAATGAGCAGGTGTGATCACTCAGTCTTCTATTGGCAATCAACAGTGGCACCATTCTCCTTGTTGTATATGTTGATGACATTGTTATCATAGGAAGTGACTATGCAGTGATCGCTTCCCTCAAGTCTTTCCTGCATACTAGATTTCATGCAAAGGACTTGGGCCTATTGAAATACTTTTTGGGAGTAGAAGTAAATAGAAGCAAGAAAGGAATTCTTTTGTCTCAGAGAAAGTATATTCTTGACTTGCTTGCAAAAACTGGAAAGTTGGCAGCTAAACCCTACAGTACTCCAGTGGTTCCTGATGTGCATTTTATGAAAGATGATCGCGATCCTTTTGATGATCCAGAGATATATAGGTGATTAGTTGGGAAATTAAACTACCTCAATGTGACTCGTACATACATTGCTTTTGCGGTAAGTATTGTTAGCCAGTTCATGTCCGCACTAACAGTCAAATATTGGGCATCTTTGGAACAGATTTTATGTTACCTAAAAGGAGCTCCTAGACTTAGCATATTATATTGTAATCACGGCCATACTTGATTTGAGTGTTTTGCAAATGTTGATTGGGCTGGATCCAATAGAAGATCTGCTACAGGCTATTGTATCTTTGTTAGAGGAACCTGATATCGTGGAGAAGTAAGAAGCAAAGTGTTGTATCTCGAGCTAGTGTAGAATCTGAGTGCAGAGCTATGTCACAGTCTACGTGTGAGATTATGTGGATACATCATCTTTTTACTGAAATTGGGTTGGAGCATCTAATACCAGCAAAACTTCGGCATGACAATCAAGCTGTCTTTCATATTGCATCAAGGTGTATCATGAAAGAACGAAGCATATTGAGGTTGACTGCCATTTTATTCGTGAGAAGATTGAGGAAAACTTGATATCCACTGGCTACGTGAAGACATGATAGCAACCAACTGATTTATTTATAAAGGCATTGAATGGAATTCGAGTTGATTACTTTCGTAACAAGTTGGACATGATAAATATCTATGCTCCAGCTTGAGGGGGAGTATTACAGAATAAATGTAGACATAATCTTACATAATATACATAGCTAGCATAATTATAGAGATTCTTAGCAGATTTATAGCATCTCCATTTTTATTTTTTCTATAATTAGGACTCTATGTGTTAGAACACGCGCAGCGGAAGCAAACATACAATCCAGGCATCAAATACATGTAAACTAGACAATGCTATAATCACTAGATTAGAAGCACTAACCTCTTGAAATCGTTGCACAAATCTTTCACACAACAAGAATCCAGGGCTCAGTCTTCTGCTATATGCCTAGTAAAACCTTGGACGATTTTGCTTGGAAAGAACAATACAACTCTAAAAAGTGAGTTATTAGGTGAAATTAGTCTTCCTTTAATAGACTTATTTTTGGCCGAAATTATGCTCCAAAAACGTGTAGGATTCTGCTTTTACAAGTAGAATCCTACTCCAACTCTACTAGATGACTTTTCTCCCAAGTCACTTTTTACCCAAGTCTTGTCCAGATTTTTACTAGGTATAACAGGGACCACAAAAATAATAAGAGGCTACCAATTATAGCATTAATTCGAAATTAGCATGAATTAATTCTTACTATAATTAATTATAATTTATTCCACTAAAAAGTTGCAATTGAACTCCTCAATATGAATTTAGAAAATTCAATAACACTTATTTTAACTCCCCTTGTTAAGATCTCAAATACCGGTTAATTAAATTAAATCACTGAAAATTTAATTTAATCAACTAATTAAATCTTTTATAATTCCGCTTAAACTATTTCATGTGACGGGTACAAAATCCACCGGCCAGGTTTTCACATGAAAACTTATAAGCTTACATAAGGCGTATCATCAAACTCAAAACCGAGTCATGGATTCTATCAACTAATTATTATTTCACAAATGTTATTCGTTATTGTCCAATCTATTAGGCATACACTAACTCTGAATAGAGTCGTACCTTTTGATAAATCAAAATAATAAACAAATTACATTGATCATAATAATTATGTCAAGATTAGGAGCATAAGCTCATTTAATGAATTAGAGAAAATATTTTATATATATATATATATATATATATATATATATATATATATATATATATATATATTCAGTACGAAAACATCTTTCTCTATTTGGTCCGTTCAATATACACTAAGTATACTAGCACAAGAAGTCGGAGTAAAACAACTCCCATAATCAAGATAAATTATACTATAATCTTGTGCTACAATCATCAAGATATTTTGTCCAATAATATCTTTGATTGTGAACATAGTTTATTAATTATGAGAACCGATAATTTAATCTTCTGTGCATGAGCTAAGACTCTATACACTAAATTGTCTACTACATAACTAAAATGGCACACATGTAACAAATTGAATATTACTTTATTGAATTGAATAAATATTTAAAATATTACTTTATTGAATTGAATAAATTAAATAAACAATTATTCCATAAAGAGTAAAACAAAATATTATGTCTAAACCGCATGGTTAATAGTATATCCCCGACACTATGTATTTGTATATATAATTGTTACTTCTTGAAATAGTATACAACGAGATTGCTCTATTCTCTCTATATTTAATAAACAACATGCTCTTTATATAGAGCAGATAGAAACTAAAATACGAGCAAATTGTTGTGATAAGATTTTGTTGGACTCGAGTGGAGTAATGTATTATATGAATCATCCTTTTTCAATCAAAGAGCTATTTCAGCGATTCCCATGTTTGTAGTTCGAAAGGAAGAGGATGAGGATTACAGGAAATTTATTGGAAAAAGATACACTAGAATAGAGGAAAGGAAACCGATAAAATCCTAACACTAATAAATGGGAAGCCGATAACAAACTCCTAAAATGAAGGATAACAATTATTATCCTTTAATACCACTTCTATTGTATACTTTGTTTCTTTCTATTTCTCGGTTCAACGGCAGTCTCTATCACATGCTTCCAAAATTGTTAGAAACACTCATATTTTGTTCCTGTCCTTATTAGTTTTAAAAAATGTATCCGTAAGCCATGACGCTAGCAGTTCCAACATTGTTCATTTGACCCTTTTCAGATTCTCTGTTGGACTCTACACTTCTTTTTTCTTTTTATTGGCCGTTCCTTAATTTCCACTATTTTTGTCATCATATATTACCGCTGCAGATTGTCATTTTTCTATGCAGCTGAGTTCAGTCCTTCAGTTCAAAAGGTACTCTTGCAAAACTCCGTCATCTCATTGTTTAGGATTTTGATACTACTTTTATGTATGACATTGCTTTTAATTATCTCAATTTGAAGTTAACTACTCTAATTTAATGTATACTTAGTAGAATTTTGGGGCTAAGGGATTTATCTAAGCTGGTAAATGGTTAATGTCAGTACGCCTGTTTCAATGTCATGGTATTTAACTCCACTCTCGCCCTTTCCCGCTTAGCCTACGGATTCAATTTAGATATTCAGTTTAAATAAGTCGAATTATCAATACATATATTCTTCCTCTCATTACTAAATCACTTGAATATTGTGTTCCCCGTAGGAAATAGTAGTCTTTCTGTCATAAGCATTGGTATGAGTTTCGACACCTTGTTCACCATTTCTCCTCATCTAACTAATGGCTGCGTATGTCTTTTTCCTTAATTGCAGTAATTTGTTAAATACAGCTATGGCGATGGTTGGTTGATTGAAAGGGATGAAGGTTTGAATACGCAGAGGCTTTAGTGCACACCAGACTATTTCATTGGCATACAGAAGACCGCTATTTGTAGCTAACTCCTACTTGCTTGGGATTGAGGCGTAATTGTTGTATAGTATAGAGGACCGTTATTGTGGTGAATGTTTAGTTAAGTAGTTTCAGAAAATGAGTTTTCATGCATTTGTTTGGTATTGCAAGCCGGTGGCGAATGGGATATGGGCCAAAGAAACTAATAGCGGTTTTGGTGCATATACACCTTGTGCTATTGAAACAGCTGATTGCATATCTTATTTGGTTCTCTTTGTGTTGTGTGCGTATCGGTTATGGCTGGTCAGGATGGACCACAAAATTCGGAGATTCCAGTTGAGGTCGAAATACTACAATTACATATTGATCCTCCTGGGAAGTTGTTGTGCTGCTGAACCCTTGCTCAGATTTTTTATGGGCATCTCAATCTTCAATCTGGATGCAGAAACTGGCCTTGCTCCTTTTGAGGTTATATCTACTTCTTAGTGTGGTTTATGGGTTTTCATATTTTTCTCATGCCCTTCTGACATCACGATTTTCCTTTTGTCATGCAAAACTCATGCTTGTTTTCATTCTCTTACCGACTTGTTTATGCATATCTGCAATTGCATGTACCTATCAGAATTAGAAAAACCTGCAGTTGGCATGTATAACTATGCACAAATTTCCTTTCAAAGAATTTAAATTATCTTCCCCTTTCAATTTCATAGGTATTTGGTAGGCGACTTATTGCGTGCTATGTAATTTAACTGCCTTAAGTTAGTAAAGAATTTACTTTAAGGTACTAGTGCTAGTGAATTCTTTATATAAGAATCACCCCAAAGGACTAATAATGGGAATCAAAACTACATGAACAGTCAACCAATTCACTTTGTACCAATACCAAATGGACAAGAATGAGAGGTAAAAGCCCAAATGAGACATGTGGGGTAACGTAGCCATATAAGGCCTTTAAGGGGCTGCAGTTACGGGCAGTGTGGTAGTTGGTACTTTACAACTATTCACCACAGGTAGCCAAATCATCTACTTCTTCAGATGATTCTCCATAGTCATTGTCCTGAGGTAAGTTCGTAAGAACCTGTTCAGCCCCTCATCTAAAAAAAAAAAGTCTCAGGATTTTAGAACTTGCTAGTTACTGAATCTTCAGAATTTAGATAGATACATGAAAGGACAAAATTGATCTACTTAATAGGTTATTATAAGTTTATAACAGAACTATGATATATTCACTTATAATGAGTTAGCCGTTAACAATGACATTTTTAAAGTAATAGTTTGGAGGACTGATATTTATCTCACACTGGGTTTATATATTACGATTGTAGTCTTGAATTAATAGCTTTCCCTAATTTTCTGCCTGCTGGAAGGCTACGAGGTGTTCTAGCACCCGTGTTGAAGGCATTGAAATAAATCAAGTGGATTATATCAATCCTAAAATAACAAATATTATAGCAATAAAAAATTTGAATTTTTTTTTAAGGTAAGGTAACAGTATATTCATCAGCACTAAGATGGTACTGGCAGTCAAATAATTACATATTACAGGGAACCCTGTGTCTTACAAGGAATCAACAATCTAAAAGTGATTCTGCATCTGAGGGAGAGGTTCCATCCTTGAGAAGCCCATGCCTCCTCTATTGCATCCTCAGCTGTAGTTGAGGCAAAATTACAACAGAGTCTTTTTCTTATTCTTTTCTTTGCCATTCTCTTTCTATGCAATATCGTGGACGAAGTCATTTTTTCAAGCTTCTTTGCTCACATCTCTATTTTCTGAATATTCAACATACGCAGTCAACACAATGTGTTCCTTAAGTAACCTCAACACTGCGTTTTCTTTAAGTGAAACAGATTAATCTCTAAGTTCTCAGTTTTAAGGAAAAACTTCATGTCACTTAAATTGCCTTCTTTGTTTGAAAGGCTATGGAGTTTAAGATGTTAATTAAACTTGTGTATTCTGTAGTGGAAAAACTATTAGAGTAAAGGTTGAATATTTGCTTGATAGACCAAATGTCACGTCAAAGTTAAAAATTTGAATAATTATATGAATTTGAATTCTTGAAAGTTCTAAACATATGGAGCAAAATTGCACGATAGAATGATATCGAATGTTTTTAAACGTTCCAAAAGAGAAAGTGTCATATTTCTTACCAGTGAACAGTGATTAAAATTTTATTGATGACAGCTCTAAGCTGCTGCCAAGTATATATAGCAAAGTACAGATATAGTTCTTTTTATAAATTCAAGGAACAGATGGACTCTATCAGTTTGTTAGCTTCATTATATATCAAATGGAAGTGTCATTAAATAAGATCTGAAACTGTAGTTTTATCAGATATGGAGTACAAGCACCAAGGAGGAGCTGTAAACAGTAAGAGAAGCAAAAACAGCATATGGAGAATGGACTGTATATAATGGACAAAAATGTAGACACTGATTTTGTCATTTGATTATCATGTAACAATATATGAAATTCAAAACAAAAATATATATTATACACATTCTTTTGATGATTTTGATACAAATGATATTTGGAACATCCTTTGCTGGTTATTCAAGTATTGGTGCTCATGCCTCTTTGAAATATCAAATAGCCTGATAGTCAATAGTCTGCAATATGATTAGTAGGTCTGACTGTGGAGAAGAAAAAAAAGTTGCATGAGAGCTTGCATGCTCATAGATCTGATCAGCTCTTTACCTTTAGTTATACAGACCTGTGAAATTTTGATAACCTTACTTGTACACCAGTCTAGTGAAAGTTCTTTCTTCATATATATAGCCAACTGATATATGTACTCTTTTCTTCCAGATGGTTTCTTTGAGCATTCAGGCACTTGCTTGGATTTCCATTGTTATTATGAATGTAGTGGAAACTAAAGTCTACATTAGAGAGTTCAGATGGTATGTCAGATTTGGAGTAATCTATGTTTTGGTAGGTGAACTTGTGATCCTCAACTTCATTCTTTCAATGCGGAGTTTCTACTCAAGGTGAGTGTGATGTTATTACTTTTGTCAAATTAGCTCTTTGAGGTAACTTGCCTTCTCAGGGCTTATTAATTTGTTCAAGTGCTCTGGTCAACATCATGAATGTTGGGCGACAGCTGCAAGGGCTTTCCTATTCCGGAAAGAGAAATTAGATACGAATTTGTCAGAGAAAAAGAAGTGCAGTTGGATATTAATATACTCCCCATTAATTGACAAGTGAGGCTTGCTCAGTTGGTAAACAGCACTTCCTTCCACGATCGTTAGGTCCTGGGTTCGAGCCACGCGGGAGGAAAAGTATGGAAACACTATAAATCCTCCTAAATTAGGAGGGATTTAAAAAAAATACTCCCCTTTATATGAGAATTTGATTAATGGAAGTGGCTGTAAGAAATAAAATACGAAGGAATCCGTACAATTCAAAGGCGAAATGAGTTTGAGCAATCAACAAAATTCTCTACCTATCTTCCCCAAAGAGCAAACAAGGATTGCACACAGAATTCTAAAAAGAAAAAAAGCTACTCTGACATGAATGTATGAAAAATATCTCCTGTATATGCAAGAGAACTTTGCATCTAGTCAGATAGTTCTCGTCAAGAAAAAACCAGAAAGAGCTTAAACATGTGCAATCGTTAGCATTATATGCTCGGTAAGAAACATTGGGAACTCAGATGGTAAGAAAACACTAAAATAAACCTGGTGTATTAGATTTGGAGCCTTAGCAAGTGGAGATCAAAGGTGGGTTTTATTATTCTTTTTGTTGTTTAAGGATGCTGGAAAATAAAAGATCCAGCTACCATATTGCCAAATCAGTAAATAATAAGCTGGTGATTTTCAGATTTGCTTGCTGAATTTCAGAAGCTGATTTTTGTCATATATGATTAATACAAGGCCTGTCTTAAAATATATCAAGCCTTTTAACTTTCTGTAGTAGGGGTTATTAGAGGAGAGTATGCAAGGTTCAAGGAGAGTAGTGGTTTAATAGTCAAGTAGGATAAAACTTGCAACTAGCACGGTGAATTGGTAGTAGTAGCTGCAAGAACAAATGAAAAAAATTGTAAATATTGGGTGTGTTTGGTATGAAGGAAAATGGTTTCCATGGAAAATGTTTTCCTAGAAAATGTTTTCATGAAAAATGAGTGGTTTTATCACTTATTTTCCCTTGTTTGGTTGGTGAGTGGAAAACATTTTCCGGAAAATATTTTCTATTGTTTGGTTAGAGAGTAGAAAATATTTTTTTTAGGAAAATATTTTTTATGCAACTCTCCTCACCCCCTCCCC